AGCACAATAGCACCTAGACCTCAGTAATATAGGTAAGGGTATTGGGGAGGTTTTAAAACTGTGGATCAGTTTACCAGTAGTATAAGGCTACAACAATTCTGTATAATTAATATTAGGTACCTTTTATGTTTAAATTGGTAGGTATTAGAGGTATCACTCACTTTGAGCTTGCTCACACAGGGCTTGGCGAACAAATTGCCTAGGAGGATACACCACATTATAGTTGTTTTTTTTTAAATATATAGAAATCCCGAAATTATATGTATATTAGAAGAACCATTAAAAACCGGTCAATTTGAGGAGGATATACTGAGCGGGAAAGTTTGTTTTTGATTAACTTTTATTTGTTTTTTGTGTGGTTTGCTATAATTTCATTAATTAGCAATTCATTTTTAATTTTTTTTTTTTCCTGTGAATCAGTGTACAGTGACGAATATGACGAAACAAGATTATTTGATTTCAAAAATTTACCATCGCACATATCTACTCTGTATGGTATGGGGTGTATCTGCCACGAGGCAAACAAGGTGTTTGCCTTGGGCGGCACTTTCCAGGGGGGCAGCAAGAATCCCACGCCCCAAACAATCAGGCAAGCAGGGCTGCACAGAATTCGGCAAGCTTCGGCTGCCTAGTCAGTTTTGAAGTGACGGGACCTTAACGCTGCTGTGCGCAGACAGCATTAAAAGTCCTGTCACATCCAAGCGTGCATCGCAGCTGCCAAACATCTCATCCCATCATGAGATGTTCGGAGGCTGCAATGCACGCTTGAATGTGACTCTGCGCACTGCTCAGCCTCCTGTCACAGATCAGAGGAGAGCAGTGTGGGTGGTGACAGCACCCTTTATTTTGGTCCAGAAACAGTTAGACAAAATTACGGTGAATAAAGCACTTAGACCAGTTGGCTTACACCCACGTGTCCTCAAAGAATTGAGCTGTGTAATTTCAAAGACCTTGTATCTAATTTTTAGAGACTCTCTAATGACTGGCTTGGTACCGATGAATTTGTGCAAGGCCAATGTGGTGCTAAAGTCAAAGTCTTTAGCAAGTGATTACAGACCTGTAAGTTTAACTTCAATAGTTTGCAAGATACTTGAAAGTTTGATCAAGTATCAAATACAATTGTTTTTGCTTGAAAATAATATCATAAGCAATAGTGAGCATGGATTCACAAAAGACTGAAGTTGTCAAACAAACCTACTTTCTATTTACGAGGAAGTGAGTAAAAAATTGGACAGTGGGTGGGATGTGCATTTGGGATACCATTCAAATGAATAGCAACGCAACACACCTCCCACACCAGAATGCACTGTAGGTGCGATTTAGTGGTACAGTGTGTTAAATCATACGGGACTGTGTTATTAATGCACTGCACTGGTGTGAACGGGCCGTCAAAAACATTGGCATACATACACAACCACAGACATTCTCACACACACTCCAAAAACATTTAGTTTTTTGTTTTTATAAGATCCACCCAGTCTCCCTACCTTACGAGAACTGGAGTGAATCCTCAGCCTGGAGTCCAGTGTGGGCTGCTGTGCTGTGACGGAGCTCCATATGTGCATTCCCTTGCGCGCCCTGTAGAGGTACCAGGAGCCAGAATGGGATGTCACTCCAGTCCAGGCACCTCTACAGGGCACATGAGGTAGCTGTAAGCAATACATTTATGAATGGAGCCTCCTCTCAGCCATACCCCCAGCCCACCCCACCTCAAGCTGACACTCGGTGCCAGGCAGCATATTTTGAATGGCTGCTTGGCGCAAGAACTGACAGTGCTGCACTAGAGGGAGGCTGAGGAACCTCTCACCTAGAAAAGTGGAAGTGTCACGTACCTGGTTGTAGACTGAATGCGCGAGGAGGCCTCCCTTGCACTTCGTGTCCCGAAGACTCCAAGGTTGAGGACTGAGTCCAAGTAGACAGCGAGTGGCACGATTGCCAGTGGTGATAACACCATGCAAGCTGAAATCCATGGGCTTTGAAGGGCGAAATCCAAGTAAACGAGCCAAGGTCAAAACCAATCGAGCAATAACGGTACAGAGGGGTCAGGCAGAAGTAAAGTGCAGTAAACAAATCCGGGGTCGATGGCAAGCAGCAGGCAAGAATCGTCAAAACAAATCCGGGTCACAGCAAATCAAGAAGGAGATCACAGGAACACAGGAACACAGGAGAGCTGAAGATAATCCAGCAATATGGTGGTGCTTAGGCTGGGTTTATATAGGGGAAGTGATTAAGGTGATGTGTCACTTCCTGTGCGCCGTCTGGCGCGCTTTTGCGCAGCTGGTCCATGGGTCTCCAACCTACAAGCAGATCTGAATGCACTGTGTGATTGGGCATCTATTTGGCAAATTATGTTTAATGTTGATAAATGTAAAGTTATGCACTTGGGGGACTAAAAACATGCATGCTTCATACACTCTAGGGGGAGTATGTTTGGGGAGTCATGATGGAGAAAGATCTGGGTGTTCTGGTAGATCATTGACTAAATAATAGTATGCAATGTCAAGCTGCAGTTTCTAAAGCAAGCAAAATACTTTCTTGTATTAAAAGGGTATAGACTCCAGAGATAGAGACATAATCCTGCCCCTGTACAAAGCTTTAGTAAGACCTCATCTGGAATATGCAGTTCAGTTTTGGGCACCAGTTCACAAAAAGGATGTTGTGGAACTGGAGAAAGTAAACTCATAAGAGGCATGGAGGAGCTCAACTATGGGGAAAGATTAGCTGACCTGAATTTGTTCTCTCTGGAGAAGAGGCGATTAAGGGGGGACATGATCACCATGTATAAATACATACATGGTCCATATAGTGAGCTTGGTGCCAAATTATTTACTTTAAGGTCACTGCAGAGGACAAGGGGGCACTCTTTGCATCTGGAGGAAAAGAGGTTTAACCTTTGCATACGGTAAGGATTCTTCACAGTTAGAGCTGTGAAAATGTGGAATAGACTCTCCCAGGAGCTAGTTCTAGCTAGCACAGTTAATTGTTAAAAAAAATATCTCGATGTATTCCGAAATACACAGAATACTACTGGATAATGAGTTCTTATAGGTATATTAAGCATCAGAGATTGTTGATCCAGGGAATATCCGATTGCCCTATGGGACCAGTTGGAGCAAATTGAACCATGCTTTAAAGGGGTTTTTTTTTGCCTTCCTCTGGATCAACAGTGGGTAACAGTGGAAAATTGTGGGCATAGCGTTCTGTTTAGGCTTTTTTTTCATATCTCTATAGGTTGAACTCGATGGACTTGTCTTTTTTCAACCTGACTAACTATGTAACTATGTAAGCTTGAAGAGGATTGATATGTTTAAACAGTACCTTTCAGAACCAGCTGGACACTAACAACAAGGCTGTATACATGGTAGCCGCATACTCACTTATGGGGCAACAAAAGGGTTATTGCCAGTGCTTTTTTTCTGTGCAAAAAGGTGCATCTTTTTGCCCACAAAAAGCAAGTGGCGGCCATCTTTGTTGTGAAATGCGCACTGCAGTGCAGTTCTCCTTCAGGTCCTCCTCTGCTGATTGACCGCAGCAGTGGGCGGGTACAATAGCCAACCTGCTATTGGATATTGCAATTTGAAATTGCCAATAGCAGCCTAGCTATTCATTCACCTGCTATCTGTTGTATTTTTTAATTATGAAGGCGGCCGCTGTCAGAATACAAAAGAAAACAGCAGATAGCAGGGGAAGCATTAGCTCCTCTGCTCTCTGCTGATTCCACTGCTGTCTGACATAATTTTGGGAAGGCTCCTGGGGGTATGGGGTCTCCCTGAAATTAGATTTTGAAGGTTGGGATGTCTGGATTTGCCAGGTATTATTTTAATGAAAGCTGTTCTGCAATTCAGGGCTGGTACTCTTCCATGTTGTATGAAGTCTACCTTCATTCACCCACTTCCTGACAGCCCAGGATGTAAAGGACATGCTACCTGTATGCATCATCTAGCCAAACTTGACTCACAGGAGAAAGCGAAAGGGAATGACTGATGTCATAACGTTTTAACATTCTCTGCAGCATTCAGGGCCTTACACTTCTGTCTGCCGTAAGACCCATGATGTTATGGGACAGGATTTATAGCAGAATTCAAGCGACCTCAACCTTGCTCATGATATGTGAGCAACTGTTCTCAGAGCCCAGCCCGTCATGGGCTCAGAGGAAGCGAAGTGAATAATACTGGCTGTCATTTAACTCAGAATATAGGCAAATATAGTGGCATGAAGGAATTACTGTGGGGAACAGTTCCAGACTGAAGGTGAGTATTACAGCATAAGCTGCCTTGTAATTTTTATTTTTTGCTTGGCTTTTTATTTATTTTACCTGAAGTTCCAGTTTCCAGTGTGCATACAGGTGATTTTAAAAAATGTGCAGGGGGCTTCGGCGGGAGCGGGTATTTTTCTTTTCAGAAAAGCTGGAGTTAGGATTCAATTATGCAAGTGCATAAATCATCACATTTCCAAAGGGCAACCCATTGCTAGTGACACATAATGTAAATATGCTTTTGAATTGTAATCTGCTCTTGACAAGGACTTACTAAACACCACCTAATTTACAGAGTGTCTCCTGTTTCCAGCAGGCTTACCGTTAAACTTTCTGGTAAATGCACAGTGACCTCCATTACTATTAAGTTTAATTCAGTTACCCACACAGAGCAGTTGCCCAAGTGCTATCTGCATCAGTTACTTCATTAGTGCCTCACTCATCGCTATGGAGACAAGGCACTAGTAATAACAGCAAGAACTGCAAATACCTAGTGGATCGGTAAGCCTTGTGCAAAGAATAAATACAAAACAATGTATAATCTTTGTATTCAGATAATTAGCAAAGTTCAAAATGAATGGTGTTGCTACTAATGGAATAGTGAGTAGAATGAGAAAAACTCTCCCATTACAAATAATAACTAAGAAGATCAGTTAGGGCAATTGCAAAGTTGAATTGAATTTTAATATATCGCTATATACTTTAAATTCTAGTCTAAGTGTGGTTTCCTTTATTACATTATCAGGACAATGGCAAAAGGGAAACGTGCCCCCAAGGGGAAAAAAATAACCCTTAAAGTTGCTAAGAACTCTATTCGGATTACATTTGATGGCAGGCGAAGGCTGGATCTATCTAAGATGGGAATTGCTGTCATTCCTAAATGCTTGTTAAAGCTCTGTGATGTGGAAGAGCTGGATCTTAGTCGAAATGTAATACAGAAAGTGCCTGATTGGATACAACGCTTTCAAAATCTTCGCTTGTTGGACCTGCATAGCAATCAGATTGAGAAACTTCCTGAATCTATAGGCCAGCTTCAAAATCTTCTTCATCTCAATGTTAGCAACAACAAACTCACAGCAAAAGGTGTCCCTATGGAGCTGAGCCAGCTGAAGAATCTTCGACAACTTAATTTTGGTCTTAATGCTATTGATGTTCTTCCAACTACAATAGGTGCCCTTAAAGAACTGAAAGAGGTAGGTCTCTTTGATAACAATCTTACTACAGTGCCTCCCAGCATCCTTAAATTGCCTAAATTAAAGAAACTGAATACCAAGAGAAATCCTATATTGCTAAAAAAAGAACTGGAGGCAGAACAACAGGAGGCCATCCAACGTGTTGAAAATCTTTACCTTGTAAGCGAGAAGAATTTGTGCAGTCCCTGTGTCACTAAGTGTCAAGCCGAAAGAAGCATGCTGAATAAGCTAAAGAATATTGTGACTCCTTTAGTAAAGAAACCTCTCTTCGCTAACCTGGTGACCCCAAATTCAATAGCCAAAGAAATCCAAGCAAAGGATTAAAAAATATTGAATTGGTATTGTAAAACAGAATGCTAAAGTGTACAAAAGGCTTGTCGTCATTTCTTTAGCATAACATCTAAGTAATAACTTTTATCTAAATAAGCATATAATATTTTTTTTTCTATTTTCTTTCTCACATGTATCTTGATCTGGTTCAGTTTGAATTTGGAAATGAGTGTATAAATTTCATGTTAAGACATTTTTATGATTGAGAGATACACACACACACACAAACAAACACACACACACACACACACACAGAGGTGGGGCATGGCTGGTGCATAGAGGAGTAAGTAGTAGACATGTGTGGTTTGTTTCTTTCTGAATTAAAATGTAGATGAATATTGACAAATGCAGACATTCGGATGCATCCTAATTTCCAAAATGAAAGAAATAACGAGTCCGAACGTATCGAATGTCATTCGGAATAAACTTGTGTTAAATGTTACAATAAAAAAAACAGTGTCCTCTCCCTAATTCATACCAAACCCTTTGCATCTGGTAGGAATTTTAGGGGGATACCAATGCAAAAAGAAAGTGTGGGGTCCCCCTAAAATCCCATGCCAGACCCTTTATCTGAGCAGCAGCCTGGCAGAGCAGGAAAGAGAGGGGGACAAGTGTGCACCCCCTCTCCTGCACCATACCAGGCCACATGCCCTCAACATGGGGATGGTGCTTTGCCAGGGAGGTTGTGTGGGGTCTCAGGAGGCTTTACTAAGTCTTAGGATGCTGTGTGGGCTCTCAGGAGGCTGTAGGGCTCTCAGAAGATTGTGCATGGTTTCATGAGGCTGTGTGGGGTCTCTGGTGGGTTGTACGGCAGGGCTGGATTAACATAGGGGCGTTTGGAACAGCTGCTCCAGGTCCACCTCTGAAAATTGGCCCGGTCGTTAGATTTACATAACTAGAATGGATCACTGTATTTACATATGAAGGAGCCCTGATTCATTCATATGTAAATTACCCAGTCAATTTATATGCCAATAATGATGCACAAGCACCACCCCCACAATTATAGAAGGTGGTACAGTCAGGATTCTGGCAGGGTCTCCTTGCATTAAGGTACAGTATTTTACGTCAGCTGTTCTTAATCCAGTTTCTACTTTATCTGTGTGGTATCTCTGTGATAACATGTCAGTGATCAGGGTCTGTCATATTTGGGGAAGAAGAAGATAAAGAGAGATTGTGTGTACTATTGATGTAAAGCAACTGCAATGCATTTGTGGTCTAGTACAGCAATACAGATTGGATCATTATTCATTACACTTTCACAGTCTGACTGTGAGCAGACAGATTCTGGGTTTAGTTTTAAAAATGTCAGCATTTCTTTAAGGGGTTAAGTTGGTCTCCCATCAATTGTGTGAAATGTTTCTGATAACATGCAAACAATGAAAAAGTATCCTGGGGCAGATGGAGAAGGGGGAGATCACCCCTGCTGCCTTCCAGAAAGTGAGATACACAAGAGGGACAATTGTATGCAGACACAGCAGAGAGATGATGAGGGGGACAGTGTGAGCAGAGGAGATATTGGGGAACAGAGGGGATATGGGGGTGAGTGGGAGCACAGGGGATATGGGGGAAAGTGGGAGCAGAGGGTAGATGTGGGAGCAGAGGGTATGTGGGGGAGAGTGGGAGCAGAGGGGATGTGGGACATGAGGAGAGATGTGAGAACAGAGGGGATGTGGGGGAGAGTGGGACCAGAGGGGAGATAGGGGAGCAGAGGGGATATGTGGGAGAGTGGGAGCAGAGGTGATATGGGGGAGAGTGGGAGCAGAGGGGATGTGCGAGAGAGTGGGAACAGAGGGGATATGGGGAAAAGGGGGGGAAAGTGGGACCAGAGGGGAGATGTGGGAGAGAAGGGACGACGTGGGGGAGAGTGGGACCAGAGGGGAGATGTGGGAGCAGAGGGGATGTGGGGCACAGTGGGATCCGCTTCCATTTAAAAATGTAATGTGCCAGTATCAGCGCTTAGTATCGGGGCATTTTTACAAGTACGTAAAAAATGCCCAGTATCAGCGCATCCCCACTGTATACATTTTTACTGAGCAAAAGAAGACAGAATGCTGAAGGAATAAGAAGGAGGGTATAATCGGTTTTGATGGTGTCCACATTAAACTTCTCCTAAACCTCTCCAGACTTACTCTTGACCAACGAAGGGCTTTAAACCCCCTTTTCACAATACTCAAATGGGCTTTCAGTTGCTGTCCAGTGCGTTTGTATTCATTTTTATGCGTTTTCATGCTATTTTTTTTCATCTCGACCAGAGCGGACTGCGCTGGTGTGAACATAGCCCAGAAATGCATTGGGATGCATTTTTGGTCCAGGAACAAATTGTTCTGGTCTGGACATGGTGTGAGCAAGCCCTAAAGATTACAGATTGACCTTTGGCTATTACCCTACCTGGTGAACCTTACAGTTCACACCCTAGAGAAGCATAGACATCCACCTCTCACTGAATCTTTGCAGGTTTTTGGGCCCCAACACTCGCCATCACCGTTGACAAAAAAAACTTTAACAGCTGTGTATGAAGACATGTAATTAAGCTTACTATATCTTCAGCTTTCCAACAACCTTGTGCAACACAAACTTGAGCCACTTCTGGGGCAAATGGGAGACCATTTGGACACCTTAAATCTTCCTCAATCCCACAGCAAATCTCAAAGGAGTGTCTCAAAGACAACACTACATCCATAAACTTTATTGTATTTATGTTCATTGACACTTCAGGATACCTATTACTTAGAGGCATACATGCTCACACTCCTCACAAGATAACGTAGATAACATCACGACCACCTCACTATTCTACCACCTCCGATGGCTGTTACCTTTTTTGTCAAAGTCAAACTATGGAACAAGCTTTTTTACGAAAGCCAACATATAGCTGTCCAACCAGAACCAGCAATTCAAAATTTGATAATTCTTTCTGCTGATTTGCAAAGCTGGCAATCCTGCTCAGGGAAAAATTTTAACTTAACTTCAGACCTGATTTTGGACTACTCCACGGGTGAATGCCCTCACTCGTATAACAAGGTAAAAGCCCTAAAAAAAACTATCCTTCCTACAATTAGTTCATGTCTGAATACTCCTCCACCCTTAAGGCAAAAAATAATTATTCTCCAACCCCCATAACTTTTATTCCCGCATAGATTTTTTTGGTAGCCATTATTCTCTACCCTGGAAACCATCTTCAGATATTATTGCAAATTCTGTGATGTTATTTAACACCCCCATGTAGTGAAATCAAATAGTAGTGAATGCTGCTTTGTATGCATGAAAAACACAGTGAAAGCACATAAAAGAAAATACTTACCCCATACTCTCAAAATGACATATCTATGCTTATTGCATAAATAAAAGATAAGACAGCAAATCTGAACATATAAACCTTAAAGGAATTGCTAGGTGACCATGATATTAAATATTATCTCTATGCTGTTTTATTCGTTTTTCTATGTAAGAATACTTTAAATAAATAGTTTTTGCATATATTGCAGTGTGCACTATGATGTATATTTTATCCCTTGCATGATTACCACTAACACTGGAGGAAAGCATATGAATATAATCTGAAAGCGAACGGTGCAATCTCCACCAGCTGGAGGGGAATAGCGATCCGTGACTCCAAGACCTTTCTCAAGTAAGGCTCTAACTCTATGTTTCTCTATCTCAATCTATATCTTTCTGTTTCCCTTTCTCTCTAACTCTATATCTAGATAGAATCAGAGGCGGCTCTAGACTTTGTGAGGCCTTAGGCGAAACTCAAAAGCGAGGCCCCCACTTACACCCACACAGAAAATGCTAACAATAATTAAAAATGAACTGTATAAATTGCATATTGTAAGACTACTGTTTAATTCCAGCCAGGAATTTACAGCTGCTGGAGTTAGAATTGTATTTCTGTCTCATATCTAATTCTACATATAACTATACACAAAACCCTGACCCTAAGGAAGTAACGTGCAGAGGTCATATGTAAGGAACACACAGAGTGCAGTGGTCAGACGTAAGGAGCGCGCAGAGGTCAGATCTAAGGAGCGCCCAGAGGTCAGATCTAAGGAGCGCGCAGAGGTCAGATCTAAGGAGTGCGCAGAGGTCAGATCTAAGGAGCGCGCAGAGGTCAGATCTAAGGAGCGCGCAGAGGTCAGATCTAAGGAGCGCGCAGAGGTCAGATCTAAGGAGCGCGCAGAGTGCAGTGGTCAGAAGTAAGGAACGCACAGAGTGCAGAGGTCAGAAGTAAGGAACGCACAGAGTGCAGAGGTCAGAAGTAAGGAACGCACAGAGTGCAGAGGTCAGATCTAAGGAACGCACAGTTTAGTAGTAAAGAACGCAATAAATCCTGCTTTCCTATCACACAGTATGGGGTGGCGTGGCATGCGTTATATGTGACAGCAGTCTGACATTTAGAAGGATCTCCTCACTGGTATTGGGCAGCTGGATTTTTTACATAGAACATTTTTAGCAGCAGATGAGAACAATGACAACAGAATGATTGTTTTGGGGGGTTTTCCAGCATGCATTGTTCTATTTTATAAAGAGGGGTGCTTTTAAAATAGAAAAATGCATGATGAAAAAAAAAACGATAATTCAAACTGCTGGAGAAGGGGGGTAAATACTTTCTATAAACACTGTAAATTGTACCCAGATGTCTGTTTAGAAGCGGCCGTGTCACCGTCTCCCGGGTGCCTTATATCACATATATGATCCGTCACCAACCCGGCCAACTCACTTTGTTTTGCAGTGGGAGGGGGAGTGGTGGTGCATTGAACTCAATGGCACCGCAGCCACGCCCCCCGGACGCAGTGCGATTGTGGCACCCGAATGCATGACATATTAGTGCCTGCGTTCCGGTCCCGTGCAAACTGCACAAAATAGTGCTTGCAGCATTTTTGCAGATCGCACTGGACCAGAACGCATGTACTAATGTGTCACACGTTTGGGTGCCGGCGATCGCACTGCGGGCAGGGAGCGTGACTGCGGTGCCATTGAGTTCAATGCACCACCACTCCCCC